CCCAGACACATCTTTGACCTCTCCCGTTGAGCATTCAGTGATAAGGTAACTACCGAGGTTACAATGAGTCTATCACCAAAGCAAATACGAATCATTCTTTTTGACACTCCATGATTCCATTTCGATAGCCAATTCTAAGAAGAGAATCCTACATACAGAAACTTCAGGCATCACACTTCAGGCAGAGCCGCCTTGCTGGTAACAGCAAATTTGAAAGCGATCTGTATTTCCCAGAGTAGGAGAATGGTAAGTACAGGAGATACATCTACATAATAGATTTACTAAACAGCTTCTAAAAGAATACAGAAGGTCTGATGTAGACAATTTACTCGTTTATTTAACAAGTCAAAAATATACCATGTTTTAATAGCTATGATAATTGTTTTTAGAAAGACTATATAAATCTCAAAATGATACATTGAAGAAAAAATTAGGAAGTATCAGCACTGTCTTTGGATGACTAAATTTCTTTCTGTCTTTCAGGTTGTTCCGATTATATATTTCTGCATAACAAACAACCCCACAACTTACTTCTTGCAATGGCAACAATCGCTTATTTTTCTCATTAATCTGCAAACAGGGTAGAGCTCCGTGGAGGCCGGCTCACCTGTCTGCTTTATGCAGCAACAGCTGACGTGACTCACTGAGCCTGAAGGCCCTGCTTTCCAAGGTGGCTGGATAGCATGTTGGTGCCAGCTGGTAGCTGGGAGTTCAGGTTGGGTGGCTGGCCAGGGGCCTTGGTTCTCCGGGTGGGCCTCTTGGGGGGCCACCTGGGCTTCCTACCAGCGTGGCAGCAGAGTTACAAGACGGGTGTGCAAGTAGAAGCTGGAGGCTCCTCAACGCCCGGGCCTGGCCACTAGCACAGCGTCATGTCCTGCGTGTCCTGTGGGCTGAGCTGCCACAGAGCCTGCTCAGACTTAAGGCAGGGCGGTCCTCTCATGTCAAAGAACTCGGGCCATCTTTAATCTACCATGGTAAGTCAGCATTTTCCCAATTTTCTTCAATGAGTATTAGTACAAGCAAGGCCAGGGGAAGTACTCTAGAATGCTTTTAATCATTATTTTGAAAACACCAATGTGAACTCTCTGATAATCCACAAAACTACTTAGAATAGCAAATGTCTCTTGTCTTTGCCCTCAAAGCTCCTTCTCCACCCGCACACTTCTAGACACACACACACAATTTCACATCTTTAGACAACTTCCCATCTTTAGGCACTTTGCTGCTTGCCTGGTCTTCTCTGTTTCCTGGTGAGGAAATTATTAAGTAAAAATTACAGTACTGGTCATGTTGGTTCGCGGTATGCCCCACTGTTCACAGATACTTTTCAAAAGGTGTCTGTTAACAACCCTCCAGTTCCTCACCGCACTGCGTACGGGAAGACCAATGAATGAACGGAGCCCACCACCTCCAAGGGCCACCAGCCAGGCTGTGTGTGCACCTCTAACAGGCACCTGGGTGCCTCATGTCCTCCCACCACATTAATCAGTGCTTATCAAACACTAAAGGGCTCACAGTTGCCTGATATAGTCATACTGATTCTTAAAAGCTTTTCTCAAATTGGCTCGTGCCTTGTAATACGCGCTCTGAGATTACATAAGGGAGGGCTCTCTTAGGAGCTGATCTCTAGTATTCGATGCAACAGAAGGCTAATAACCTTTCAAAGAATAATTATTAAAATTCGACCGCAAAGCAGTAAGATTCACTGCCTAAGATGAAATGGGAACCAGTGTATCAGCTGGTACAGTTTGTTCCATTTGGTAGTGTATGTGCGTGTGCGTAAGTTTTGTCCCGGTTTTCGAGTCTGAACGGCCCCATTTTATACAGTCCTTCTGGGTGACGACAGACCTGCTAGCAGTACCCGATACCCCAGAATTTTCAGTAATGCTCTGGGGCCTCTCTACAGAAGTAGGCACTGGCAAAGCATGCTGGGTACACTGGGGGTTTCGCAGACACCCTGCTGAGGTTAAGAAAGCCCCGGCTGGAGATACCTCAGGTCTTTGGTGACTTGGAATAGGAGGTAAGTGCCTGAAGACGTCAGAGTGGCTTAGGGCCTGCTGGGCTGTGCCGGGAAGACAGACGACTGTGCACAGCCCCACTTCTTCCCTGAGCATCACCGCAGTGACCTGTGACTCATGCCAGCAGAAAGGCACAGCAGCCTGGATACGGACCGAGCATCAGGATGAATGACCCTCCCTCCTGGCTACGAGGCAGACACGCCTCCCCGGCCTGACGCTCTTCCATCCCTTCTGCTGCGCCACACACTTAATGGGCACCTTTAACCCCATTCTCAGGGCTGGGGTCAAAAACACACACCTGAGTACAGTCTGGCTTCTCTCACTCACTCAACTACTTCATTGACCATTCACAGAACCCAACGTGCTTTAGCCTTCACAATCTGCGTCCCACAAGCCATGGGCGTGCACACATTTACAATGCAACCCAAGAGAAGGCTACAGAGGAGAGACATGGGAGCAAGTATGGGGGCTCCGGAGGGCCCCCATGTCACTGACAGAGACTGGCAACTCACTGTCTGCCGCGGTGGGTCACGGAGGTTGATCAGAAAAGATGAACTGATCCCCGTATTTTTTTAAAGGCAGACAAGGACAGAAGGGACAACATGTGGAAACGTACTCAGGTGGCAAAGAACACGGCGCTTTCTGGGTTCAGTGTGGCTGGGCCTCGGATCAGCAGGAGTTAAAGCAGGAGAGATGGGAGAGGCCAGGTCTTAAATGGCCTAAGTGCTGTGAAGAAAAAAAAGTTAGAGGAACTGACACGGGGCCTCTGGGAGGCTCCAAGCCGAGGACTGGATGACAGGTTCCGCGACTCTGATGGCAGAAAGAAAGGCGCGTCAGGAGGGGCCCACGCGAGAGACCGCGCAGCTGGGCGGGGGGCTCCCTCGAGGTCCTGGGCAGGGGCAAAAGAGGGTCCGAGTGCCAGCAGGGCAGCAGGGGGAGAGGTGGAGGGCAGATACACGAGATTCAGAGACGGCACAGAGAGAGATTGGATGAAGGGGGGGTCAGGGAGGAGTCCTTACGATGACTTCCAGGTCCCTCGTTTGAGCAAACAGAAACGTGGTTGACCAGACAGGAAGCACGGGCGTGTTTGGGTGAGGTCGTGAGGCCTGAGGGGGAGGAGGGGTTCCAGGGCCGGGGAGACCTCCATCTGGGTGACAGAGCTGTGGACCCGATTAGTGCCACGACTTGTCCAGTCTGGGTCGAAGGTCCCGGCTCACCAAAATCAAGACTGAAATACTTCTGGGTGCCTAGAGTGCGACAGGTCATGTCAGGCAGGAACAGGGCCACTCCTGTCGTGGGTAACAATGAGAAAACTGTCTCTGTGCTAACTGTGCCTCTGTCCCCCCCCTTACATCACTGCGAGCTCCGCCAGCTCTGCTGTGATCGAGTTTTTCTTCCTCCCTCCAATGTCTGCAACGCCTGGCTGTGCAGGGCGAATACTTCCATATGGTGCAATGTTTATATTAAGACAGAAAAATATGAAATGCTTTCAGTAAATTTTATCCAAGAAGCAATAAATTTACAAATCCTAAACAGCTGGAACAAAATATTGGCCTGTAATTGATTTTGGATGAAGGTATTTCTACGGGAATAGGAAACTTGGGACAGAGGTAACTGATTTTCAGGGATCTTGGATGCCTTCCTACAGCCCTTCCGAATGTAATCTCACGCAAATCACTGTCTATCTTGGACCTCTTTTGTCTCATCTGTAAAATAGGTTTGACAATTTCAACTACTCATGGGGTTTTTCTGAGAATTCAATGAGCTACTGCAGCTAAGACCTTAGACTGGTAGTCAGTCATAAGCTAGTAGGTACTCAGCAAAGGTTAGTTCTTCCTTATTACCCGTTACCTATGAGCTAAGGGGAGGGATGCGGTGAACTGGGGTTGGAGGGAAAGGACGGAACAGTGGGCAGGAACGAGTTAGAGGCTCTTCTACGGACGGAGGCCATACCGCCTGGACTGCCGGGTAAGCGGGCTGTGTGAGCAGGAGTGGCTGTCAAACAAGATCTGGGGGGAGGGCGTGGTCTGCGAAGCCCGTAGAACCAGGACTTTTCATCTATTTTGGATCCTCACTCACCATTATAATTATTTCATTCACCAGCACAAACGAGATTGTCTAGCAGGAACTACAAGACATGCAAAAACTACCCCACGGAATCAGTCCACGGGATTTTATCCTCCTGACTCACTATTACTTCGGACAAACTGCCAACTTTTGTTTTAGCGTCCTAGTCACGAAAGCACAAGGATCTTTCAGAACGATTCTTAGTGTCTTCTACTTACATAGCTCTTACGTTTACAAAGCATTTCTACACCGAATACTGATAAGAAACAGGCAGAGTAGATATCATTAGCTGCATTTTAAAAGAGCAAATATTGAGTGCAGATTTACTGTGTGCTACAAGCAGTGTCTCCTCTAATCCTCCTGAAAAAAAGTGGACAAGAGCAGTACGATGATCGTCTGAGGCTGAAAGGGAGAATTTCACAACTCTCCCAAGGTGAGCCAGACAGTAAGAGCAGAGGCTGGATTTGAACCCATGTCGGTCTGACTTCAAAGCCTGCTTCCTAACTCTGAACCATTGTATTCTGCTCTTGAAGGATCAGCAGACACACATTCTTTCCTCGTATGGCAATGCTTGTGGTCTGAGCCTAATTATCTGCAGTCATGTAAACAACTGTTGTGATGCTGCGCAGAGATGCTGGACTTTCGATGTCTGTTTCCACACTCCGCTGTGAGACCGCTGGAGACAGATGCGCACAGCGATGCACAGCCCCTTCCCCAAGGTCCGGGGAGTCTGCACGGGACCCGCGACTGTCGGGTAAAGTCTCCAAATATCTGAAGGATGCGGTAATAGCTGAGAATCTGTTTCTTATTTACTTATAATGCAGTTTAATAGCTGCAGATAAGAAAATGTAAGCATAATTTTAGGGAAGGGTAGCTACCAATCTTTCGAATAGTTCAATAAAGCAAAGGACAAAATCTGTTCATAAAAATGTATTTTTCATTTCCTTAAAAAACAAACAAACTAACAAACAACTGTCCAATATCCCTCCCCATCATGCAAACTGCTCTCATATGAGATGCTTCAGATTTTACGTTTTTTCCATTCTGGCTCATTCTTTGCTTCTTCATCATCAGATTCCACTTGTGCAAACATGGTTTTGGGCTGAGTCCTAAAAGAAAGTTAGAGAGAAGAGGAAAAATGTAGTTGGCAAGTGTTTATTGGATTAGACTTCACTACTTTTCATCACGTGGAAGCACATTTGGGAAATCAATTACATTTCAATTATTAAATATCAATCGTTAAATTTCTGGCAATAAAAATGTAATAATGTTCAAGTCGAGAGCCAAAAAGTCTTTTAAAGGGTTTCCCTCTGTGGTAGACTATGGATGCTATCCTTCCCTTGAATGAAATGAAAGTGAATCAAAATCAGTGGCTTCTCGCATGTCCACAACCACCCTCACTTCAAACCCACGCTAACCGGAATCCTTTGGGAGGGCAGATTATAGTCACCATGCAAGAATCCACACGCGCTTTATTTATAGCTCTCTGGGCTGTCCCTAGACTTAAGTCGTCCAAATACATGTGATTACGGAACTCACGGATGGGAGACTGAGTTAACAGTTATTCTGTCTAATGAATGCAAAACAGCAGGCAGCAGACACACTAATTTGAGCACTGCCAGCAAAAGTGAAACAAGACAATCAAAGGAACATTCCCTCCGACGTGCAGACCCTGAGTGGGAAGGTCAAGCACGTGGGGAAACACAGCTGAGTACCACTGCTGGAGCCCTGGCCCCGTCTGTGTGAGGACTCACTGCACTTCGCAAACACCCCTGGTTCAGTGACATTCCTTCTTACACTGTTCACACAGGAAGCAATTCCAAAAAAAGGTCAAATGTGCCCCTTTTGGTCATGCTAAACAGCTCTATCACCTTATAAGGAAATATTAAAGCATTATATCTGAACATGATATATTTTAGTTTAAATCTTTAGCTTAAATCTTTTAGCTTAAATCTCTTTAGCTTTAGAGTTCAACTCATCATATCGACGTAATTCCAGAATGGTAAATATAATACCAGTGACAATAACTCCTGTTGTCTGGCAAATGAAAACAGGGTTAAAACCTGACGTTGTGTCTTGCTGTCCCTTTACTGTCCTGGGGAAGAGGCGCAAACTGTGCCTGTTCCTGCCTATGTTGTTCTGACGTAAACTAGGTGCCGCATTTCTTCTGGCACAAACCAGTCACAATTCCTGTTTCTCTGATGACCTCACACATGACCCAGAGAGCCCAAGTTGTCCCTATACACAATCTAGTTGGTTAAACTTCTTGTTGTCATGGTTATGGCATCTACAAAGAAGCCATAGCTCTAGCACTTCCAAAAGCAGCTGTGATTTTCGGAGGTCAAGAGCTGTTGAGTTACTGGAAATCAGGGTCCCAGCTCTCCAACAAGCAAAGTGTGCTCCTTCCTCGCGCCCTCTCCCGGCAGTGACGGTGGCCGCTTCGGCATGGACAACCCATCCAGAAATAAATTTGTCTGGTTTAAAAAATGCTTTGAATTAGATGTTTAATCTGAGGGCAAAATAAAAAGAATATGGTCTTCTGAAGCCATCTGGCAATGCTTCATAAGATATCTAAAGAGATCTGAAAATGCTCATTAATTTTAGTTGTAATAGGACTTGTGATCCTGCTTTTTTGGATATAAAAAAAGAAAACAAACAGCAGATCAAAAGAAGGAAACCTAGAGCTTAAAAAGGTTCTTTCATTTAAGTATTTACTCTTTTCTGTTCCACCCACTCCATGAGTGTGTTCAGCAGACTGGTAGCTAACACGGAGGGGCATAGGTTCAACAGGGCAGAAGGGACAGGGGGAGCCCTTTGGGGTGATGGAAATATTCTGTCATCTTGACCAAAGTGCCAATTACACAGAGGTACACATTCGTCAAGACTTGAACTGAGTGCTTTTTGTGCTTTACTGTAGGTAAATTATGCTGAATAAAGCTGACTTATAAGGAAAAACAAAATCAAACCAATGAGCAGAAGGTCAAGAACCAAGCAATGAAAGGGCATATAACTGAACACAAAACTTAGCACTGAGTTTCCTGGCAGCCAAGACAAAAGAAGAAGATTAGTTTTTCAAAGGGGATACTTTTTCCTCCTCTAGCCCTGAACTCAGCAAAATTCACTGAGTAAATTTGTACATCACAGCCATTTACACTGTGACTTTCTATTTTTATTTTTTAAAAGATTTTTGTGGCTTCTACTTTGCTCTCTCTTTTTTAAAGCTTTTATTTATTGACTTTAGAAAGAAAGAGAAACAGAAACATCAATTTGTTGTTCCACTTATTTATGCATTCATTAGCTGATTCTTGTATGTGTCCTCACCAGGCATCGAACCCGCAGCCTTGGTGTATTAGGATGATGTTCTCACTAACTGAGCTGCCCGGCCAGAGCTTCACTTTCTATGTTTACACCACACAATTTCCATTTCCTTTCCGGCTATTTTAACTTAGAGGACATCAACTGGTTTGGAGGGTGGAATCGTCCTCTTTGTGAAACTCCACAGAATTTATTTTAAATTCCACTTTTGAACTAATAACAACACTCTCAACAAAAAAGTCACACTATGTGTACGTGACATCAGATCATGACACGCAGCTTTCACGTAGCCATGCTCCCCTTCCCCAGATTGCCCAAATCAAGGCACAAACCGGTGTCCAAATTTTCCCAGCAATGCTTGCTGCCCACCTGTTCTTTTATTCTGTTGGCCAAGCAGGTAAAAATAAGTGGAAGGGATGTGGACACCGGCCCGCAGTCTCCGCGTCATTATGGATGAAATGAGACGTTCACACGGACTACCGAGTCCGGTGGAGGAAAAGAGACAGCACGGCTTTTCTCTGAAGGGGAGCGAAAGCCGCGGCCTCTGTCATGACCAACCTTTATTGGGTTTCTCAGCACATTACATGATGGTCCTCATTTACTATGCACAGGTTGCTTTAGGTGGTTACCTTTTACGGACAACAAAGGAGAGGATGCTGGTAATCATGTCACAGAAGAGGAATATTTGCAAATGAAAAGGGGAAAAGTGGTTGAACCGGTTCACTCTTCCTTGGAAGGTTTAGCATGGATTTTAGGAAGTTACTTTGCAGTAAATGTTTGCCATAAATCCTGGTGAGGGAGTTTTTAGCAAAAAGCAAGACCCAAAGCAGCCCAGGTACAATGCAGGCCTGATTCTCCACGGGAGAACCTATCCATGGGCGTGGGTCTTGTGCATCTCCGAGTGGGAGCTGGGCCCACAGCACACAGGAATGGTCTCCTACAGTAAGAACTGGGCTCTTTTCAATACATGGTGTTGGCAAAATTACATATCCACATAAAACGAAGGAAAAACTGGACCCTTACCTTATACCAGACACAATAATTAACTCAAAAAGACCTAAACCAAAGAGCAAACACTATAACCTATGAGAAGAAAACATAGGGGAAATGTATCCTAGCACCTCAAGACAGCGTTTCCATTGCCCACCTGTTCTATTTAATCAGTTTCTCCAGAATTCTGCATTTCCTTTCTCCAGAGACAGGCAGCCATTAACTCAACTTTACAGCTGAATGGCAGATTTATCTCAGATGCCCAAACCAAAAGCCTATAAAGGGATCAACTTGGAGACAAAGAAGAGGAAGAGAACATTTCCTTCAGTCAAAGGTACAGTCATCATGGGTCCTCAACAGGTTGACGGGGACAAGACAGCCCCGACAGAGCCAGCCAAGTACCCGCCTCGCTGAGACCAGCTTTATCTAGACCGTTCGTTTGACCACTGGCTCACGCCCCTCACTCACCCATTATTCTCAGTGCTAACTGGAAACTTAAACGTACAGAAGACTGATGTGAAACTTGCTTTCCAGTCTGATTAACTCACTCGGTGAGCAGAAAAGGTTTTTCACTTGACAACATGTGTCTACTTGCCTACTCGAGTTACTGGGAAAAGAAGAGCAGATCAGATATCAACACGTTCTAGATGCTAACCACTCGATAAGCCAATCAGAGGAGGGCTGAAGCGTTTTTATTTTGGGTTAGCCTCAGTAAACTCTAATAGTATTAGCTATTTGCTAATACTATTTCATGATGCAAATATAAAAGCTTAAGCAAATGTCTTCCTCAAATTTATAAATTACGATTATCTGATACTTGGTGCTCACTAACTTCCCCTTGGAACATCACAAAAACTGGATTCTCCAAGTTGTTTGTACACAGAGAGCCTTTGCCAGCAACTGTGGGCTACAGAGAAGAGACAGATGCCCAAAAGCAACGGAGTCCCACCTTCAATGTTCCCAGCCCACGGAATTCCGTGTGCAATAGTCAGTAATGAATACAGATTTCCCCTGCAAGCGTCTAAAAGGGCACTTTGGGGGTGCACTGTTTGTGCAGGAGATTCACGGGTGCGCTGGGCTGCCCTTTCTCTCTGCTGCTCTCCCCCAGGCCTCCACGCTCCGCCTGCAGCCCTCGGGCCAAGCTGAGGTCTCAAAATGCTTTCAGCTGCAACGAAAGGTCCACAGGTCACATTCTTTGTAATTAAGGATGTTCTTCTGACATGATTCATTCAAAAAGCATAAAGTGAGCTCCAGGGGAATGAGTATGAGGGGAAACCACTTGTAATAAATAGTTAGTCATCAGTATGTGAGTGTAAACCACAAGCTTTTCTGGCGCAAGGCCTGCTGTTTATTATGAAGGAGAATCTCAAAGCCAAGGCCAATTATAGCCATGACTGGACAATCTGACACACTTGTTAGCCCTGGCAGAATGAAGACAGTCCTGATGAACTCTGACCCAATCATCACAATTGCAGAATTATTAAGACTAAATAAAGAGTTTGACCAAAAGATTCCACTTGAAATGGTCCCTTCTTTCTGGTGAAGAGCTAATCAAGGATAATTTTTTAAACAATATATTAGAGACACATAAAGGAGATGAGAGGTAACAAGATGTTTCTAGATGAAGAAAGTTCTATTTTCTTCAGGAAACCAACAACAATATTTTGGAACACAGATAAAGACATCTCAGACTCACTAACGGGCACACTAACGCACAACGGTGTGCGTGAGAGGGGGAGGGCAGAGCGAGGGCAGAGACGCGCCTGCGTGAAACCCGAATGTGCTGGGAACAGAGGAAGGGCGA